GCTCCCCTCCCCTTCCCCAAAAAGGGGGCCAAACGTGCATTTTGAAAGCAGCCCATAGAACAATGGAGAAACGCATGGAGAAGGAGAGTGTCGGGGAGATAGATTGGGGTTGGGGGGGTCCTCTTTTTCTGAGAAGTCAAAGAGGTTGAGAGGAGGGGGCACAGCCAAAGATGGCGCGCAGCTCCAGCTCAAGTTGGAGCAGCGTGTTCTGCCACAGAGGAAAAGCCAAAGTGAGAGGAAAACCTCACGCTGCTTCTGCATGGCCTGATTTTTATGGATGATCTGGTCCCCGTGGACTCCTCCCTTTTCAGAAGAGTATATCGTGGCCTCTGCAGCCCCTCTCCTTGCTGGCTCCTGAACCTTTCTGGAATTGTTTCGGCTAGTTTGGAGCACCGTGATGTTTCTTCTTGGGTGGAATGGAAAAGCGTGGGTGGAAGGGAAGCAAACTTTTGAAAAGTTGACTCTGGAATAGAAGAGGGGACGTGTGCAAACCTTTTGCGTTTACTTACCTCTCGTGCCTGGGCACCTAGGAGCAGGTCACCAAAATGCCTCCCCTCCCAGAAAGAATTTCGACAAGCCAACACTTTTCCCTGGAGGAGGACTTCAGAACAAAAAGCAGAAAACCCCCTGTTCTCCGTCATCCAGACAGATGATAAAAGGAGAGATTCTGGGTATAGGAAGGCGGGTTCTGGTTGAAGGTAAGGAACGTTTTTCTAACCGTAGGCGCAGTTTGAAGACCCAGAGGTACCCTTCCGCTGGAGGTGTTCAAGCTGGCCAACCAACTTTTTTAATTTTTTTAAAAGGGGGTATAATTTGGATTGGTGCACAAAGCAAGGGGTTGGGCAAGATGCTACCACCTGTCCTTTTCAGCTTTGGGGTTCGAAGCATGAGAAGCAACAGGGGAGGAAAACACAGCCCAACTCAAAAGACCATACTGGCAACAGGCAAATTTTCTTAGCATGCTGCTGGAGTCACGAAAGGACCCCCTCCCCAGCCCCATACGTAATTGTTTATGGCCCTTGAGGTTAACCAAAGCATCCTCTATGAACGATTCCGTTTTCTCACCTCCCTGCCGAACGAAGGACACACACGTTTGCATTTCCCCCCCCCCCCAAAAGCCCTTTCAGAAGGAATAATGGAAAGCGTTAGTTCTCCAAGGTGGAACCGCTCCGCGAAGGCGGAAGAGGGGGGGGGTTCCCTTGGGGGGGGGGGGGGAAATGCAAACGTGTGTGTCCTTCGTTCGGCAGGGAGGTGAGAAAACGGAATCGTTCATAGAGGATGCTTTGGTTAACCTCAAGGGCCATAAACAATTACGTATGGGGCTGGGGAGGGGGTCCTTTCGTGACTCCAGCAGCATGCTAAGAAAATTTGCCTGTTGCCAGTATGGTCTTTTGAGTTGGGCTGTGTTTTCCTCCCCTGTTGCTTCTCATGCTTCGAACCCCAAAGCTGAAAAGGACAGGTGGTAGCA